AAAGACAAAGAAGATTACTGTGTAGTATTGCATGAACGTAAGTAAAGTCAACAAGTGAAGTTTTTCAAAACTCGAAGAGGTCAGGATTTTAGTGTTGGGAAAATATTCTCCCGAGAGTGTGTTCGACAAAGGAGCAGTTTTGTGGGACAAGCTGTCAGAGTGGAATTTAACTTCTTACTTTTGGAATACGAAGGGAATATGTATGAGTCATCCTTATGCACGTGACATGGTGAGTTCCAGTTGAAATAGTCAGGGCTGGTAGGACTAAGCACCTTAGAACACATGTTATGGAAATAGCCATAGAGTTACGAGAAGGTCACGATGTTTCGTTTGTGGGAATTTATTTATACGGTGGAAAATAATTAATCATAGAAAAGCCGCGTATAGGCTTTTTTTTTTAACTCTATCAAAACAGGCTGTGCAGCTCCATCCAAGATATAGCAGCAATGGCATCCTTCTGGAAGTGTCTTCTCTTGAAAATTGACTTTCACAGACACCATACCTCGGGAAACAGGGTTGAACATTGTGGATCTGGAGTCAGAAATGCAGGACAGAATAGTGTGGAAAGGGATTGCCAATTGCGTTACGACCAACCATAGGGAGGTCGAAGGATGTTGATGATGATGATGATGATGATGATAACAGCAATTTCGGTCTGTTTTGACGCTTGTAAAGATGCAGTAGAGCTGGAGGATACTTATTAGAACTATACAATAAAATGAACATTTTTCAAGCGTCTTCAGAAATAGGTCGAATATATGAGTTCCACTTGAAGTCTAGAGAGAGCTTGAGTCCCAAGAGACGTTCAATACAAGGAACCTGCTTGAGAGGACACCCATCTATCATTCCAACATCTTCAGCAATAAATAGAATATATGAGTTCTATTTGAGGGCTGTGGAGAGTTTGAATCCCAATAGAAGTTCAAAGCAAGGAACCTCCTTGAGAGAAACCCATACATCTTGATAGTTGAAAATTCGGGGTCTGCCCGGTGGTGGTGGACCATTTCTAGTTTCGTTTGAGACGTATTGAATTTTACAACAGATGAGAAAGTTGTGTATGTGTAAATTTTATATGTTTTGGGGGAAAATACTATATTTGGTGTGATTGTCAAAATTGCCTTCATCAAAGGGAGACAATGTTTTATTGATGTCCGCTTCGGCATCGATGATTAATTAAGTAAAAGTGATTTCATCGATCTTCAGATTTGCTTTGTTCTGACGAGAAGTCTTACGTTAGGTAACGAACAAATTCTAAACAACATATTTTCATTTCGGTCGGTAAACGGAAACTCTGTCGCAGTATTACGTTATTTCCGAACAAAATGGCATGATTTATTTTTTCGTCAAGACAGGCCAATAAAAACTGGAAAGTCCCAGTCCATATATGGAGGACCATACTCTATTTTTGTTTGACTTGGTTCTTTTAAAGATATCATATGGCATAGAGCGTCAGAAACTTACTGGAGTTGTACAATGAACCGAGCATTTATTTTGCATGAATGTTGTTTCTTTAATCGGTGAGTGTTATATTCCGTGCTAAGGGAATAAATACATAACACCAGGTGGATACTAGAAGAAAGGTTTATTGTACACAACAAGTACAATATGAAATACAGTACAGTTATACACACAGGTCAATCTAGTAGTGAGTACCAGTAGTTGGAAGGACGAACGTGCTTGCGTCGTCTCGCTCTCACGCAGCCCCCTTTCTCTCGTAGACGGTTGACTTTATAGGTACTTACTACGTATAGTGTAAACATTCATGGTGGTGACTGGTTATTCCATTACATCAATAAGTAACACAGATTAAGAGAAATCAGTAAAAAATATGAAATTAGGAGACAAAGAAAAATAATTCAAAATGCAAAAAGAAAAAAATGAATTCTTTTCTTTTTTCCCCATTGCCGATTTAATTTTTGACATTTTCTTACGTTCTGTTCAATTTTCGACGTTATTAATTTTCTCTGATGACGTTTTTTTTGTTTTTTTTCTACTTTCAGGCAACTTTGAATGACTTTGTTTATTATTCACACGTCTTTTTTTATCTTTGGCGCCTTTAAACAGTCCGATAGACTGACTAACGGGTTCCTTTAACTGAGTTTTTTTTTTGTTGTTTATCTTCCCTTTCTATCGTTATACCTCCAGGCAATTTCCCGTTTTCCTTTCTCATCTCTTTTCTTCGGCAGCTTAAAAAAATTACCTCTTTCTTTGCATCCATTGTAACTGTGAGGTACACAAGCACTCAAAATAACTTCAGAAGAGAGAACAGAAACAAAAACAAACAAGAAACAACAAAAATCACAAAACAAAATTCCAAACACACGTACACATATCACTTAAACGAATATTGGATCGCTATTATACTAAGGTCATCTTTTGTTTGATGTAAACTCACAACTGTAGGGCAACAAAGGAAACTTGAATTTACAGCATTAGCGAATTGTCTACCTTGCGTGACATCACTCTACGATTGAAACCCGTAATACTGCTACGTGACGGTATATTGTTACACTTTTTAACTCTATGTCCCTTCAGGACGAAAACGATCAAGACGTAGAGAAAAAAAACAACACTCGAATAAACTGAACAAAAAGTAAACACTGTTTATTTATACCAGACTGATTGATATTAGCGTACCAAACTGTCCCTGTTGAGGTTGAAGCTTTAGGTCTGAAGAAAGGAAATCAACAACAAATCAACAACAAATCCACAAAATTCCTGGTTCACCATCTCTCCAATAAATTCCCCCAAATAGTTCTAAAAAGAACAACCTATATTCAGCGAAAACTGTTGCCAATTTGAGTTTCTTTATTTTATTTTATATTTCATTAAGTGTAAAAAACAAAAAAAAATACACATCGTTTGTTTTACTTTATTGATTATGACCCGATACGTAAATATAAAACAAAAAAAAAAGAATAGTGCAAAAAATAATCCATCTCCCACTTTCATTTCAACCGTAGCATCTGTTTGACTTGGGTTTGCATGACTGCTTCTGGAATAGGCTCATTCATATTTATTGATAATGTAACTCGTGATGGTAGCAGCAAAATTAATTCAAAAGTCTACAGAAATATTTTGTCTGCCAAGTTACAGAGAAATGCATTTAAACCTATCGGGGGGGGGGAAGTTTATCATGCAGCAGGACAATGACCCAAAACTTATTGCCAACACAACAAATGGCTTCATCTGGGGAAAAGTGGACAGTTTTACAATTGCAAAGTCAATCATCGGACTATAAACCAATAGAGCACGCATTATATCCCCTGAAGAAGAGACTGAAGGAAGAAAACCCCTGAAACATACAAGAATTGCAAGAGGTTGGAAAACACTACAGTTATTTCAAGCAAGGGTTATGCAAGCAAATATTAAATGTTATTTACTATAAGACTATCTATTCCTTTGTTTTTGGTCATTTGATAAAGAGGTGATCTGATAAAAAATTGGTATATCCTAAGCTGTTTAACACATCTAAATGTAAAGCAAAATGTTTAGATAAACGGCGGGAACTGGATTTAATTTACAAAGAACGGTAACTCTGTGCTACTGTCTCGGTTTTGAAGTGCAAAAAGTTTCTCATGGCCACATGCATGTTTCTTTTCCCCAGTGTTGGAACGGATAGAAATTTGTTTCTTTTGTTTCCTGTCAGAAATTGTATTCCATCAAGTACTACCATAGACATTGGAAAGGCAATTACTTGAATTTAATTATCGAGGTAATTGGAATGAAAAAGACGGGGTGTTTTTTTGTGTTTGATTTTCCTTCGCCATGGTATATCCATGTATCATCGATGCATTTCTATTCTCGGTTTTCGATCCCAAAAGTTAAAGCAGATCTTCTTTGTCCTTTATCGATTTCTTTTCCTCTCAAGCAATTTGGGATCCACATATTTGTTTTCTTGAAGAGTTTTGTGAATTTAGACAAGAACCATTTTCTAAGCTGTTTGGGTGTAGCAATTCTAATTAAATAAACATTACTAGACCAAGCGAAGATTGTTAACATCTCAGTAAAGCAATTACTACAAAGTGTGTGTATGTGTGTATGTGTACGTGTGTCCATATGCGTACATATGTGTGTGTGCGCGCGCACGCGCAATGGAAAGAACAAATACTGAAAAAAAGAGAAGGAAATTATATTATCTAGCGAAAAGGATGGAAGAAATGCAAGTAAAAAATGAAGAACATAATCATTACATTATAATGATTATATCATCAAAGAACACTTAAACAATTTTAGTAAGAATCTAATCGAAAATATAAGTGGAACGAAGGAATGTAGTTCATTTAAGAACAGCTTTAATTTCTCAAAACTATTCTGAAATAACTGAAGTATTAAAACAATATACAAAACATCAAATACACCACCGTATACACGTTTGCTCAAGACATGTCTAAAAAGTTAGCCTTGTTTCTGTCATAGTTTCGAGTCTCACTGGGTGGTCCGAACACGTTGCTTTAGGAGAAAATAAGCAATCATTAGATTGATCGCAGTCAGAATCATAAAGTTATTTTGATTTTTATCAACCTTAAGCTACCTGAAACATACGGCTTTGAATTTAGAGTTTTCAGCCTCCTAGACTTGTTGCCAAACAAGGATGAAAAGCACAATTGGTTCTACTATTTTACCCATATCTGGGAGAAGAGATAGATGCATACCTTTTCTAAGGGTATTTGCGCGAAAGTGAATCTTTTCAGTGCGAACCGGGCTCCCCAAGCACTTATCCATTACATCTCCATCACATCACGCAAAGAAAGCATTAATCTAAACTTTAATTACTTTTTGTCTGAGATTGTTGAGCAAATGCCTCTCGCTTCAGGTGTCAGGTTTCGAGTCCAGATAAAAGCCAAGATTTCAGACGATGGCAAAAACTCGCTAATAAAAAAAACAAAACAAAAAACTGTCGCACCTCCCCACTTGATATTTCTATTACTGGTCGTAGTGTTGGACGAATTTAAACTTCATAGATGTTAGGAATATACCTCTCTTAAGATCGATAATATCTAGCTATCTTTAGATAGATAGATCGATAGATAGACAGATAGATAGATATTGAACAGATTGAAATAGATAGATAGATAGATAGATAGATAGTGAACAAAATGAGATAGACAGCTAGTCTTAAACAGATATTGATTGATTCGTTTTTTATGGCTTATAAACCGTTTGCATGATTTAGTGAGACTTGTCTTACTAATTAACCCATAGCTGAAGGAATAAGAGGTGGATTCATACCTTTCAAAAGAGTATTTGCGGGTAAGTGTATATAACGAACACACCTGGAATTGGAAATCGGTTCTCTTATTAACAATTCTTATTAACATTGCACCATCCTCACATCCAAGCTTACACCACCTGGATAGATAGATATATAGATAGGCGAAACACCCTAATTACCCCGGTATTTCATAGGTGAGAAATAAGCTCAATTCTAACAGCTTCTTCAAACGAACCACTTTTCTGTGGAACTGACTCCCCAAAAGATGTTTTCCTGATCACTACACTCTTAACTTAAGTCTAGGGCTATCCTATTATATTCCCCACATATCCGCATAAACTCTGCCTCTTACTCTTTTAACCCTCTACATCGAAGAGCTCCAGCTCCTTGTACAAGGTGAACACCACTGTAAAAAAAAAGAAAAGAAAAGAAAGAAAAATGAGATTGATTTCAGCTCTCTGATTCCGTTTCTCGCGTCAATAACCATTACAACACTCGTACATCCATTACAGACAAAAGACGATGACAATAATAATAATAATAAAAGGAAAAAAGTTGGCACAATGATTTACATTAACGTTCCAAATCGCAAAATCATCCGTGCGAAGGTTTCTGAAAAGCCAAGCAAAAACTATAACTGTCCCTCTGTGTGTTGTACGCTCCGAAAGTAATGACTCTTTTTTATTTTTGACCGTAACTACAACAGACACAAGTGACACAATATAATACTGCTGGGGAGAACTGGTTTGCGGTTAAAAAATGTTTTTTCCCACGTTGTCACCACCACTGTCTACTTTTTTTTTCGCTTTCATGCTGTGCTCGTAAACTTGGCTTCCTTGTCATACACATCTTTTGTCGTTACGGCCAAAACGCCTTAGACACCAGACTCACATTTACTGTTGGGTCTCCGTAATCATTCAGCGTAAGATTCGATTAATTTAAACGGATGTATTTTCTTTTTTCTGCATAGAGCACTTCATATGACATATCTCTGCTTCATACTCACTTTCAATTCTGATAAAATTTGGCTCTAAGCAGTTTGAAATTATATATATATATATATATATATATATATATATATATGTATGTATATTGTCATCCACTGTTTCGCTGTATCACAGCTCATCAGTGTGGCTAGACGTCCGGTTGCCTCTAGCTAGGATCGAAACTTGACTGAATTGGCGTCAGTCGGGGATTCTACCACTAAGCCGTTAGCACGGTAGGGATGAAGGTGAATTTAAGAGTATTTATTTTTAGAGAACTCGATTCGATTTAAATTTTTCAGGATATATTGCTATCCACAGACAGACTGTTTCGCTGTATCACAGCTTATCAGTGTGGCTAGACGTCCGGTTTATATACATTATTTATTAGGATCAATAAATATCGTAAAATCCGTGCAAAATAAATAATTAACTCGTAACTGAAAAACGTGATAAGTTATTTACTTGAAGTCCGCACTAAAGTAGAATGCGACACAAAGTCTTTTTATGGGGGTGGGGTGATATTTTAGTGAGCCCACCTTTCTAACCCCATCGAAATGGCCCAAAGTCTTTTGATGTTGGACGGAAACACGTCATAAGGTGCGCCCGCGTTGCTACCGAATGTGAGACAAGGGTCAATTTAAAGTGCGTTTAACGGCATACCGTGGAAAAATTGCTCAACATCACTCAGCACCTCCCCTTTTAAGGATGCATCAGCCCTCCACCAAAGGAGCTTCTTAATGTTATTTTGAAACTACCCCAGCCAAAGTATTAGTGATTTACTAAGCATAGTTTAGATGTGGCCCAAAGCCGAAAGTAGGGATCACCTAGTGTGGATCTATCTCACTACTCAGCCGTAATTGATCTCGGTTGACAAGCTTGTTAAACATTATACCACGTCGAAGTGCCCAAAGATCTTTTTAGGGTTTCGGCGAAAGCACATGATATGGTCGCTTCCAATCTTTTCTGCATATGATTAAGAAATTTCCACATAGGCACTTAATTTGCATAAAAAATTTTCTGCAGTGTTCATAATAAGCATTGTTATCGTCTGATATTACAGATTATAAATTAATCGAGCGGTGGCGAAAGATTACTGAATTCTCTAAATACGTAAAAATAATCTGTTTAATTAGATTTTCTTAAAATTTTACCAAATTATTTAAGCAAGTGAAAAAAAAAAAAAAATTGTTTACTATTATTATTATTAATAATAATAATACTATAAACATTAGAAAATTCTTTAAATGTTTCTCTCATTGTCAGCGCTATGAAGCTATGTACACAGTAGGAAATTCAACTGGGCATAAGTAACTTTAGAAAATAGACGTCATGCTGAAAATGCTGTTTATAACGAAAGTAGAAAGTTTAAAGAGAACTTTTATTATAACTTACTTTTTTCCTTCCTTGGGTCTTGTATTCTGATAGTGACCTATAAAAGTTTATTTCTCACACTAAAGATCAGATGCTCAGAAATTTGCAGAGTAAGTAAAAATTTCGACCATTTCAATTTGTTACAGAGATAAGGATTCAAAATAAATTTGAAATCGCCAATTAATCAAAGTCAAAATGCCCACCATGTGCATTCGGTGAACGAAATACTCTGGTTCGAAGACAAGTTCCCTTTGTTCAGAAACCTTATAATAACACTTATTTTTTGCTGGTTCCGACAGTCGCATTATTATCTATCTAGGAATGAACGTCATTCGAAACCATTCATTATCCTTACTCAGAAACCTGACCCAAATATAGATTACTGTTCGGCTCTGGACGGTATATTTAAGGGTCTGAGATGGTTTCATCCATCATGTCGCCATTGTCTTCTGTGAGGAAATCCAGCCACGTTCTTCGTTTCCCTTTTGTTACAGCTTCCCTGTCCAACACAATAGTATATGTAGGTGATCTTAATTCTCCACTATTTCCTATTTCCATTGTTGGGATTCGTCCAATCTCCGAAGTTAAGCAACTTTGAGCCTGATCAGTATCTAGATGGGTCACCGCTCGGGTGTACCAGCTGTTCTAAACTTAGATGTGTCAGTGATTTAACGGATAATGGTTTGGAATGTGAATTTCCTGTCGGGTTCATTATATTCACCTACTTGCAAATACTCTTGGGAAAGATATTAATCCATATAATTTCCTCCCAACTATGGATTAAATAGTAGGATTTGTATCAGAAAATCATTATCTCCCACAAAAAAACTTACAATCCCAAAATATGTTTTGGCTTTGAATAACCTTTAAAATGTCGATATACCGTAAAAATAAACAAACAAAATCAATCAATTTAAGTAAGGTTTGTCTTTTTACTCGTCTCTCCTAGGCCACCTTCTGTCATTCATTTACACAAGCCTCTTTATATATGACTCGTTGCAACTCTTTTTCCACATCTTGCCTTCAATATATACTGTGAGTGTCAAATTCTCCAAGACCTCTTTTCTCATTTTTTTCAAGAAATCTTAATTGCTTCATTTTGGTCCTAAGCAAAAATTATATTAAAATACGGACTCGATAATACGTTGTATTCGTTTGAAAATAATCAAAATGTCAGTAAAACTGATCCCTCATTTTTTTCTATTTTTCATATAAGGGAGAAGAAAATGAAAGCAAGCAAAGACATGAATTTAAATGTATTCTTTTTCAAAACTGCACGGACTATCGGGTTATTTTAGTAAAAATTAGCCACAACCTTAAGTACCAATCAATTAGCCACAACGTTAAGTATAGTGAACCAATCAGAATTTATCGGTTAATGACCACACCAAATTTGATATTTATCCAAGCATGAGTTAACTGGTTAGAAAGCTAAATGCAGTCGGAAGTCAGATTTGATTTTTAATGTCCATACGTCAAGGATATTTGTGATGAGCACCAAATGTAGAATGAACTCATTGCCGTAGAGCTGTTATGCATGACTATCAGTGATCCTAAGAATTTCAAGAAAGAAAGAAAGAAATCCGAAAATAGTAGGATTAGAAAGATACAGAAAAGACATTTGAAAATAAAATAAAAATAGAAACCAAGAAGAAGAAAATGAAAGAAGAAGAAAACGGAAGAAGAAGAAAGAAGAAGAAGAAGAAGAAAAAAATGGATGAAAACGGAAGAAGAAAAAGAAGTAAATGAAAGAAAACGGAAGAAGAAGAAGAAAATGGAAGAAAACGGAAGAAGAAGAAGAAGAAAATGGAAGAAAAAGAAAACGGAAGAAGAAGAAAATGAAAGAAGAAGACGGAAGAAGAAGAAGAAGAGGAGAAGAAAATGGAAGAAGAAGAAAGAAGAAGAAGAAAAATGGATGAAAACGGAAGAAGAAAAAGAAGAAAAGAAGAAGAAAATGAAAGAAAACGGAAGAAGAAGAAGAAGAAAATGGAAGAAGAAAAAAACGGAAGAAGAAGAAGAAGAAGAAAATGAAAGAAGAAGGCGAAAGAAGAAGAAGAAGAAGCGGAGAAGAAGAAAACGGAAGAAGAAGAAAACGGAAGAAGAAAAGAAAAAGAAAAAGAAGAAAAAAGAAGAAAAATTAAAGAAGAAGAAGAAAACGGAAGAAGAAAAAACGAAAAGAAAAAAAGAAGAAAAAGAAGAAAATTAAAAGAAAACGAAGAAGAAAAAAGAAGAAGAAAAGAAGAAGAAGAAAAAAAGAAGAAGAAAAAGAAGAAGAAAAGAAGAAGAAGAAGAAAATAGAAGAAGAAAACGGAAGAAGAAGAAAAGAAGAAGAAAAGAAGAAGAAGAAAACGGAAGAAGAAGAAAACGGAAGAAGAAGAAGAAAAGAAGAAGAAAAATAAGAAACATAGAAGAAAATGGAAGAAAAAGAAGAAAATGGAAGAAGAAGAAAACGGAAGAAGAAGAAGAAGAAGAAGAAGAAGAAGAAGACGGAAGAAGAAGAAAAGATGAAGAAAACGGAAGAAGAAAACGGAAGAAGAAGAAAACGGAAGAAGAAGAAGAAGAAAAGAAGAAGAAAAATAAGAAACATAGAAGAAAATGGAAGAAGAAGAAAACGGACCTATTCTAAGTCTTTTCGTTTCTATTTCAATTTTATATTTGCTCTTTTAGCCATTTTTACTTTTCTCTTCTCCCGTTTCTCTTTCATTTCTCCTTCCCTTTTGATAATTCTCATCTTTCATTCATTTCTCTTCGGATTGTTAGTCTGTCTAGTTTCTCTTACAATATTATTCTGTCATTCTTGCTGTTTCTTTTTCCTACCCTTTTTCTCTTATCTTAAACTTTTCACTTCCCACACCACTGATCCAACTTTAATGTTAATAAAATAAAATATTTCTTCTTCTTCTTCCTCCGTCTTCTTCTTCTTCTTCTTCTTCTTCTTCTTCCGTTTTCTTCTTGCGTCTTCTTTTTCATCTTTATTTCTTGGTTTCTATAATTATTTTATTTTCAAATGTCTTTTTCTTTATCGGTCTAATCAAACCATTTTTGATATCATACTTCTTTCTTTTTCTTTGTTTCTTTTTTAAACCCACTATTTGCTTTAACACAAATTTCTTTCTTTCTTTCTTTCTTTCTTTCTTTCTTTCTTTCTTTTTGAAACCCACTATTTTTTAACTCAAATTTCTTTCTTTCTTTCTTTCTTTCTTTCTTTCTTTCTTTCTTTCTTTCTTAGTTTTTGAATCATACTATTTTCTGTATCTACATTTCTTCTTATTTTCTTTCTTTCATTATTTTGTTCGAATTGCATTATTTTGTCTAAGTCAGATTTTCTCTTTCTCTTCTCAAACTTTATCTTTCTTTTCACTGAAATACTTGCATTTTAATCCCTGCCTTTCCAACTCTTCTATTTTTAGGACGAACGCTGTTCCATTTCTTGTACTCAACTCTCTGAAATGCCAGGATTTTCTTAGTTTTCCAAGCTTTGTCATCACAAAGTAAACTGAATTTTAATTATTTTTCCACAGACAACATTCCTTGCAAAAAGAATTCACCGCATTTTTACTGGTTATCTCTATCTATTTCATTCGTTAAATTATCTATCTATCTATCTATCTATCTATCTATCTATCTATCTATCTATCCCAGTCTGTTTATCTATCTATCTATCTATCTATCTATCTATCTATCTATCTATCTATCTATCCCAGTCTGTTTATCTATCTATCTATCTATCTATCCATCCCAGTCTATCTATCTATCTATCTATCTATCTATCTATCTATCTATCTATCTATCTATCTATCTATCTATTGACACACACACACACACACACACACATATATATATATATATGGTCTGATGATCACATTAGGCATGAAACTACATTTAATGGTAATACCCATATCCGCAATGTTTATACCAGTAAACATTAACTTATGTAACCCTATAAATATATAAAATTTTAAACAATACACACACAAACAGAAACGCACATACGCATACACACACACAAACAAACACACGCGTATATAAGCACTATGAACACACATCAACACTGGAATGTACCAATGCATTCGCCGTGACATAACGATTGGTTTTAAAAATGAAACAGACAGTCGCCATTCAGCGCTGACACCTAGGTCCACATTTCATATACTTATACAGTATGAAGTTCTTTTCCTGCCTAACAAATAGCATATCTTGGAAACTATATTTTGTCATATATATATATAAAAATCATATTTATATATATGTATCACACAGTACTGAATTACGATATATATATATATATATATATATATATATATATATATATATATATATATATATAGTCTGATTATCAGCGACTGAACCGTTTCCTCCATCATGTATTTTTTTTTCTGCTGGGGAGGGTGGCTAGACATCCATCAGGATTAAAAAAAATGAGATCAATGATCATCTAGCAAAGGTGCGGCGATATAGACATAAATGTGTTGAGTTCGATCCTCGCTGAGTGCCCCATATTTTCAGCCAAGTTTGGAAAATCTCCATAACAAATCGTGTTGGGGGTACCTCGACGGGTGTAATGATTAGCAAGCTTTTTTTTTCTCTCTAGGCCGATCACGACTGAATAGTGAGTTCAATCCTCACTCCTACCCACCATACTTTCAGCCTAGTTTCACTTATAATTGAAATTTAGAAAATCACTATAACAAAAGAAATTGTCTTTATGTCACAAAACTTATAAATTTTCTTGAACTACAGTAGTTTCTTTTTGTTCAGTAAAAGTTAAGAAATAAAAAAGGCTTTACTTTTTCCGAACCCTGTATATACGTATTACTTCGCACATTATTTTAAGGGATACCTATGTTTGAATAGTCGCTCTTTTTTATTTTAAGTGTGAATTACTTTTATCAGCCGTTGTTTTAGCGGCACTTATACGGGCTCGTCGTCAGGTTTTGAACCTGCGTCCCATTTTGTGAGAGAAATAAATTTATGTTTGAACATATATTAAATTCAGTCGGTAGCATTTGTTTTTATTGCGTTTTTTAATTTTCAATATATTCTGGCGCATTTGATTCCAAATTGTGTTTAAATTGTTCAAAGTTCATGCCTTTTCTTCTGTACAGTATCGTTAAAATGTCTTCGGTCATACACTAAGTGCATGCTTTAATTGTGCTGTCTACAAATGGAACTTTGGCCATATTGGAAAGTTTTTCTCACCTGATTATCATATTTTTCATAAGGGTTCTGAATGAGAAGAGAAGATGTGAAACGGCATTCACAAATAGCCGTGCAAAATTTTTCGGCAATCTGACCATATTTTGTTTCCTTTTTCTGTTCCTCTACTCAAAGAAAAATATTGTTCTCAGGAATTCTAAAAAATATTTGTTAAAGAAATTTTCCTGTTTTTGGTTTCGTTTAGGAGAGAAAGATGAAAACATTAGCACTGTCATTTTTAGGCTTACCTTTCCGCCTCATTCAGGAACCCTTTGACGGAATATCGTATTTAGCTTTGAATACAGTTTTATAATCAGGTGTACATATGTCTGCAATCTTTCATCTGTAGATTTGAGACATTTATAATAATTCAATCGTCCAAAGACATTTTCACTGTATTGTATTTGTTCGTGAATCTTGGATTATTTAGTCTGTTACCAGAAAAGCAACATTGTCACTATCGTAGAGAAGATTTGTATAGCTATATCCTGATATTTTTTAACATTATATTTCAAATTTAAATATACATTGTATAAATGACATCATGCGTAGAACGCCTTAACAGACCTTGACTATACCTGAAATGTTTAAATTAAATATTTATAGTTATTTTCTATATTTTTCATAGACTTTAAAAGAACCCAACCTGTGATGTATTTAATGCTAATTTTTTATTTGCATAACAATAGGTTAAAGCATGTTACGTAATTCTTTTTAGGGCGTCATGTAAAGTATGTCTTAACGTATCTAAATTGAATCTGAGTTTAGTCATATCTTTCTCTCTCATACTGTTGTATCATGTTCATTCATGTAACATGGTTAAAGCCATGCATATCATGTCTGATGTCTCTACAAAAGGTGTGAACTTAACACAATGGAATCATCACCTGTTTTTCAGCTTTTCAAGCGCAAGATGCGTTACGGATCGATTGTACTTTGTATGGTGATGAGGAGGTTTTATATCTGTGCATCTGAGACTTTCATTTTCTAGCTTTACCTAACAACACAAATAAGGGAGACTGTTATAAGCAAGACTACAACCCCCCACAACCCCCCCAAAAAAAAAAACAAAAAAGCCCCAAAAAAAGAACAGAATTTTTACTACATTAGTCTGGTTAACACTCCCTTTTCTGTTCTAATCTCTCCCTACCTCTCCCCCCTCTCTCTCTCTATCTATCTATCTCTGATTCTATCTATCTATCTATCTATGATTCTATCTATCTATCTATCTATCTATCTATCTATCTATCTATCTATCTCTGATCTTATCTAGCTAGCTAGCTAAGGGAGGTACTGAGTGGAGTAATCGTTAGCGAGTCTCGTCTCGTTTGAATTTCACTAAGTGGCTCTTTCAAAATTAACCTAACAAGGGATGACATGTAAAATCTCCCAAACAAACGACCATAATCTACGCATCAGTCTTCTTATATATGTTTATTAACTAAAACTGCTCTTACTCTGTACAAGCCTGGGATAAGGTAATTGGAACTTATCATCTCGGGAGAGTAGTTCATGTAAGAGAAGGAAAACTCTGAATTTAAATCTCCGCTGACTTGCGGCCATACCCAATCATTGGAGAGTCTTTGAAGGTAAACCTTGAGGACAAATCCGGATCCAGAGTACATTAGACTGTTCGGTGTTGTGTTCAGTTTCGCTCTGGAAACTCCTGCATCGACGCCGGTGCCAATCTGTATTGGGCTCTACTTTTCCCTTGAACAAAATCGATGGCGTGTAGAGGGGAGCCATGCTGCATGGGCAATCACCGATCTCTCTTAAAGCACGGCCCTGGAGAAGACAATCCAACATTGACTCATTGCGACGGCTAAACACGGGAAGCAACAGACTACTGATGGAAGGATTCAAAAGGTACTTGTCTATGGGAATCTGAACCTAGCAAGATGGCACGATGGCGACCTCATCTTCGCTTCAAGGACGTCTGCGAAAGTGATGCATGTGGAGCATGGACATCGAGAGGTAGGAAGACGTCCTCAATGATCGCTCACGTTGGAGACATGATTTACATTGGAGCGAGCAGTGAAAAAAATGGTTTGTCGCCGGAGTGCAGCATGCTCGAAGGAAAGAAAACAAACAGAGACATCTTCACGTGCATTGGTTGTAATTAAGACTGTCATTCCTGTGTGGGCCAGTACAACCATAACAGATTCTGGACCGCCATCAGCGACTGAAGCATAAATTTTGGAGGCGCAAATCCAGGGTCTCTTGAGAACGATAGTCCCACAATAATCTCTCTCACTTTCTATCTATCTGATTTTACGTGCATACTATTATATGAATAAGCGTGCTAGACTGTATGTATTAACGAGCTTAATATTGGTATAGACAAATATTTAAAGATTTTTAAATCAATTCATGCTAAGTAAGTCGATATACGCCACTGAAGCGCAAGAGGCTACCGGAAGTGAAAGAGAAGGAATAGACTTTAGAAGGAATGCGAAATCCAATAATAGTAAAATTTCAGAGTTTAGGGGGAAATGATGGAAGGATAGAGGTGAAGTAGAATTTAGCAAAAACGGAAAACTAA